AATCATCAGAGTTTTAAAATGCATTGTTATATGTGGTATGAAGGCAAACATTATTTGAAAACCATTAGAATTTTAGTTTAATTAACTCAGCACATTGTAGGACACTGAAATGAGACAGGGAAAAGGAGATGCAGAAGCTCAGTTGGTAGAATAAAAATTTTCCTGAGGGTATAATTCTAATGCTGTGTGTTCTGCAAATGATTATAATGTAATTACTTAAATAAAGCCCATATTCCTTATGATAAATTATTAAATCTTCCATTTTGATCAAAGACTCTTCAAGCACATCCCTAGTCAGTTGGAAAACAGACATGAATCTTGTCTAAAATATAAGTATTTTTAAAAAGCAGAAACAAACACTGAAGCTATGCTAATCATTTTGTGTGTGTGTGTGTGTGTGTGTGTGTGTGTGTGTGTGTGTGTGTGTGTGTGTGTGTGTGTGTAACATTATGGATAGAACTTAGAGCTATGTGCATATTCCACAAGTTTTCTACCCTAAGTTGTAACTCCAGTCACCTCTCTATTTTGAATAGCATATGTTAGCCATTTGAAATTATGTTTTGTGATATTTTGAATTTTCATGCATCCACATTGTATATCGCTTTCATATTTCACACTCATTTACATTCTCAATGTCCTATCCCTTTCTTCTTTCTGTCTATTACCCTCCCAGTTCCCCCTTCCTTTTCTTTTTTCATTTCTTCTCCCACTTTCCTTCTTTCCTTTCTTTTTATCTTTCCACCTTTCTTCTCCTTCTCTTCTTTCCTCATTTCTTTGAGACAGGGCCTCACTCTATACCACAAGCTGTCCTCAAACTCATAAATGTCTGCTAGTCTCAGCCTGCTAAGTGATACCTTGCCCACCTTTATGTATTTTTTAAATGGAGTGCTGCACATTTTATCAATCTTATAAATGTCTCAGTTTCTCTTTCTAGATTGTCTGACCCTAATGAAGGATAATTATTTCTCTCTAGCAGCATTGTTTCATACTTTTCAAATAAGAAAATATCACACTGGGGTTCTCATTAGTATGAGTTCACCATCATAGATGAGCCTTTAGAAACCCATATTTGGATTTCTGGGAACTAGTGCAGTGTCATTAGTCTCACAAATGAACATTTTGTATATTTTCATCCTAAAATATACATCACAATAATATATATATCCATACATATAGGGAAATTGTAATCACTGTTTGTAAAGATGTGCTTTATTTTATTTGTTTACATGTGATCACATTTGTATGCATGTAGGGAATGTGAATGCAGGTGTCTGTAGAAGCCAGAGGAAGACCTAAGTTCCCCAAGGCTGGACTTATACTTGGTTTGAGAGGAGCATGGCAGAGGTAGTGGGGACCAAACCCAGGTCCACTGTAAGATCAAGAAGGGCTTTAAACCACTGAGCAAGATCTTCAGCGCCAGACATCACTCTTTTAAAAGCATCTTTAAATAGGAAATAAAGAGTTATAAATGGAAGCCAAGGGTATGATCGGAAAGCTAATATGAAAACACAGCATTTCATCAATATAAATATTAAATGTGTCTCTTTTTGAAATCTTTTATTTTGAATAAAGAGTTGTACTTTCTTCAAGTTTTCTCTTCTCACTCCTCTGTTGGTAGAAAACGTTGTATGAAGGGGTACAAGGTTGCCATATTAAACTTATGAATCTATGACTTAATCAAAATGGCTTACTCCCAAGTTGTAGATATGAGTTAAGAACCTGGCAGGGATTCAGAAACTAAGATGCATTGAAAACAGTATTTCTGGCTGAGCTGTAGACCCATTGCAGAGAAGGCGGGTGCCAGCTGAATGGGGATGTGCACACTCTCTTTCTCCCTGCTTCCCTTTACAATTAGAGTGTCTGCCAAAAATTTGTATATAGCTGGCAGGCAAGCAACGCCAATCTAGGCACCTGTGTTGCAAAACCCAACAATCGTGTGACTGCCATCAGTGATCCATCTGTGAGGTTGGTACTTGCCACATGTCAGTTGACTCACTTAAAGTGGGTGGGAGGGAAATTGCCCTAGAGAAGGAGGGCAGCAAAGTTAACGTGTCATTTGCTTTTTGTGATTTAAAAATATATAGCAAACATGTTGGGAAACCATAATTGTACAAACAAAAAAAAAAACAAAGATTGATAATGACTATTACATGGCAAATTTAGAGACTGCCAGTTAATTTTTAAAATTAAATTTGAATTAATTTAATTAAGACTAAATCATTTTAATGTCTCATTGTACAGAACAGGACTTCCGCAATCTAATAACGTGTACCAAAGTCTAATAAAGACATGAAATAAGGATTGCCTTACCAAAGAAACTAAAGCAGAAGGCAAGGCTCCTTTGCTGAGGTACTACTTTTGAAAGAAGTCTCGTGGACTGGAACCCAGACCCCCACCCATTTTGCTTTTATTATCAGAGTGAGCTGAAACACAGCCAATGAAAACTACTTACTAAAAATGCATACCAAATAAGGGTCTGGAGAAATGGATCAGTGGGGAAGAACATTTGCTGCTCTTGAAGATAATGTGCGTTCAGTTCAGAGCACCAACAGGACGGCTCACAACTGCAGGTAATTCTGGTGAAAAGGATCTGACACTGTCCTCTGACTTCTGCCAGCACCAGACATACATACGGTTCACATATATACATGCAGGAAAAACACTCAGACACATTTGTAAAGATATTTTTAATTATACTAAATATGAAAATTATTATGGAAAAATGTTGATTTTTTTTGAGAAAATAGGGACAGTTTTGGAGATTAAAATTTAACATTATCCAAGTAACACAGGAAGAAAAGTGTTTTACTAATAGAAATTGCCATATAGATTTTATGGCATGTGCTGTGACTTTATGAGATGCCACACTTGTTTTACTTTAATAATTTTTAGGCTATTACAGTTATAAAAGTGGGGCTCATAGAAGTTATCCATTGGATCACTTCTGCAGGAAAGCCTACTTAAATTTTCTTAAAAGAAATTTCATTTCCTTTCTATCATTTTTGTTGCACTATTCATAGTAGGGCCCATTAAGCAGTACTTGATGAACATCTCATTCCCTGAGCTATGGAGACAGTACAATCCAATAATATTGTATTATGAACTATGTGTACAATACTGCACTAGCTGAGACAATCAATAGAACATAAAATACCCATGGAATAGGTCAATGAGAAGTCTGAAGTAGAAAAACAATTATTTGTCATGATACAATTCTGGTGGGGAAGGATACGTTTGGATTTGAAAAAGCAGATTTTCTGACTAAATCAATTGAATCACAAAGATACCATACACTTCTGCTGTGTGCTTGTTCTGCCCTCTTGAACTTTGAAAAGTACAATTCTAAAATAAATCACAGAAGAATGCATAGCTGACGCATTTCTGCAAGGAGTATACAGGTAGTTTGTATTTCCAAATTTTGTTTTAATATTTCTAAAATGTATGTCCACTCACTATTCACTGTGGATTTAAAACATTGAAATATCTAAAATGACATAGTGTACTCAGTGAGCAAATACATATTGATCTAGACACTCCAAATGTGACCATGTTAAAGTAACGTGAAATACTATCCTGGAGGCAATGAAAGAACTATATTTTGCCATATTAATGCCTTGAGATTGCTTACAGGAATCATTAAATATATTTATTGGCTTATTAATAAAAGATTACAATAACATATGATAATGTAATTCATAGGACAAGGTCCTGAAAGGCATAGAGGCTTTTGCCCTGCAGAATGAGGATGCAACAACCTCCCAGAATACTGAAGATATTTCTATCACAAAGCTTCTCAACAGTCATAATTTGTACATTTTGCCAAGGCCTCATCTTGCAACTTCATTGATTGATAACTTCATTTCGGATCCCTCTCCTCTCCAGAGAATTTGGGAGATAAGAGTTCCCAAGCTTGTAGTCCTGGTTTGGTGTTTTTAATGATAATTGCTTACCCAATAAAATTGGCTTCATTAGAACAAAAGATGTTCCTGTTATCCAGATAGGGATTTAGGATCTCTATGTCAAAAATGTGGTTCAAAGACAAAATATTAGAACAAAAAATTTTGTTCTGGCTCCATGATTAAATAGACTACCCAAAGAAGAGATCACACTCATTGTTTTCCAATTATATGATAATAATACGTCTATCATTTTAATTTCTATTTTCTTTGATTGTTTTGCAATCTCCACACCACACACTGGAGGTAGAGTCCTGTGCATTTAAAATGGCTTTGTTTGTCCCCATCAAAATTCATGCTGGATGTTTGTACTTGACATTACTGTGTGCTTATTTTGAGGGTGAAGACTTTAACAAGAAGTAATTGTCAAAAAAGTTAGTTCATAGAATTTCAGGACAGTGTAGATTTTACCACAGGACAATAAAGCAGGGAAAGAAATAGAAAGAAGAAAGGTCAATGGGTCTAAAACATGTTACAAAACTATGATTACAGAAACAATAATGTATATTTCATAATGTTAGAAAGAAGACTTTTGCCACATCTCACCATGAAGAAATGGTTACCAGGTGAGAAGAAGCTGTTTAACTTGATCTTGAGAAATGACTTGGTAATTAAGAACCCTGTCTGGGCAGGACCAAGCCCCTTCCCACTGTACCAAGGCTGTGCAAGGCACCCTACCACAGGCACCAGATTCCCAAAAGCCTGCCCATGCACCAGGGACGGATCCCGATCCCCCTGCCTGGGTGCTCCCCAAACAGTTTGAGCCAAACAACCATCTTCCATATCCAGAGGGGCTAGTCCAGTCCTGTGGGGGCTTTACAGCCACTAGTCTACCTTGATTTGGAGGATGTGGGGATGTGGGGTGGCTTGGGAGGGAGTGCTGGGAGATGGGAGGAGGGAGGAGGTGGAATATGTGGGTGGTATGTAGAATGAACAGAAAATTTCTTAATAAAGAAAAATGAAAAAAAAAAAGAAGAAGAAGAACCCTATCTGTTCCTGAATGACTACCCAGGTTGAGTTTCCAGCACCCACAGGGTAGCATACCGTGTCCTGTAACTCCAGTTCCAGGGAATCAAGCATCCTCTTCTGGACACCAACCGGAACTGCACACATGTAGAGCAAACACATAAATGCAGACAAAACACTAACACACATAAAAATAAGAGGAAATCTTTATTTTTTAAAAAAAGATGTTTAACTTGATTGACTCAAACATTTATTGATGCATGAATTTGTCAAATAGTTATATAACATACCAGTAATATATACAATAAAAACTAGTTTATATATCAAGTTAAAATATAAATTAATCAAACTGGAAAAAGTATTGGTATAAGAGAAAGCAGTTTTTTGTTGTATTTACATGTTGTAAACCAAGTTAGTCTCTCTCTCTTTCTCTCTCTCATATTTTGTCATTATAGAATCATTAAACAAACTAAGACAGGGTATATTTCCTATTTTACAGACATAAAATCAAAATTATTGTCTTAGTAGATGAGGAGATTTTTCTTTTAGATTTCTGGTATTCTCTGAGATTTTTCTCATCACATTTCCTGGTTTGATTGGCAGGTAGCTGTGAAGTAGAAAGCGAGACTGACCTTAAACTGAATGCAGTCAAAAGATCTGTTGTAGTTAGACAAGAGTGATGCCCAATTGACATAAACTGCAGCAAACAGTTCCTTTGGTCAGATTCTAAGCACTGAGTATCTATTTTGGTGGAAGGGAGTCTGAACATTAAATCCAAAGGCAGTCTTTCTCTGCTATGAGAGGAACTGGGTTAGCTGCATGTCTGAACAAGGAAGCCAACCAAAGCAATGACAGATGGCTATCGTTGCACTATTGGTCTCATTTAATTTTCCTAGACTGTCCACAAGGCCTTGGGAACTGTGAATTTTTCTTGTATTGTCGTCTGATGATAAGTTTTCCTTTCAGATTAAATGGGTCCTTATGAGTTTGCTATTTGTAAGTTTTAATTTTTTTATATTAATTATGGCTTGATGATCTTGACCTTAAACATATTTCCACGCTATATTGCAGATATGTATCAAAATTTGGTAAGTCTAAGTGCAAAGTATCCTAGCTATAATCACCCTCCTTAATAAGTAATGCCATAGAATAATGAATTTCTCATACAGTCAGGAATGTCTGTTTGCACTATTAAAAGTCGGTGTGAGACCAAAAAGGGATCAAGAGGCATTGAAGAACTATCTCACCTACATTTAAATTATTATCCACTTTATCTCCTCCACTTTGTTTCTATAAAACATTAATAAGCCTGTAAGTCTAAGCTCTTATGTCATTGTAACTGTTCATAGCTTTTGGACTTTACAAGAGATTGACTCCAAATATGGCATTTTCTTGCTATGAGAAATGTGCATGTGAGAGGCAATAACTCATCTCTGCAAACTCTAATTCCATAATAATTTATTCCAGGGCCTTGGCAGCTAATGCTTCAAGCACTATTAATAGAAAACTATGCAAGTAGTGTAGGTGGTACTTTCAGTTTAGTAGTGCTGTAGCTAATTCCCTTAATTTATAAAGCACTTTTAAGTCTCATCTATGCAAAGCTGATGAAACTGTGTAGGTAGAAATCACTTATCTCCTTATCTCACAGCCTCCCAAATTATATCCACATGAGTAGCCTGGCTAATCACTTTACTCCTCTTGCTAATTCTGTTGTGCGATCCTCACCTGAAAGTTTCTAGTGTTGAAATGGCTGGCTATTTGCATGGATCATAACGGGAATGCTTTTCTTGTTCCAATAACTTAGAGCAGATTTTCTGTAAGATGTAACAAAATGTCAGGCCCACTTTCAGCATTTATCTCTATGAATTCTGGTTTATTTTATGCTTCTATAACCATATTTACTCTACATGTTTAATAGGAAAGTGGCGTTTTTAAATTATTATGTTTAAATTATTATGTTTGACTGTCCTATATTGTAATAAAACTTTATTCACAAATCTGCGAGTTGTCATTTTATCCTTTCTTGCTTGTTTCATACAGTATTGTCTTCTTTTAAAATTGTTGCTAGTCATTTAAAATGCAAAAGCCATTAATAGCTTTGAGGTTTGAATAAGAATGGCTCCATAGATTCACATATTTGAATATTTGGTCTCGAGCTGGTGGGACTCTTTTGGAAGTATTAGATAAGATGTGGCCTTGTTAGCAATGATGGGTCACTGGGACTTTGATCTTCCAAAAGCCCATGCCATTCTCAGGTAACACTGTTTGCCTCATGGTTGTGGACTGAGATATGAGATCTCAATTGTTCTGCCAGCCTGAAGTCTTGTTGCTGTGTTCTCACCAAGGTGGTCACAGACTCTAAGCCTGAAATTGTAAGCTGCAAATAATTGCTTTCTTTTGCAAGTTGCCTTGGTCATGGTATCTCATTACAACAACAGAAAATTAACTAAGACAATAGATTATACAATCAACAGGCCAGGTTTAATGTCTTAGCCACAATCTGGCAGCTCCTATTAGACAACAAAAATTACACTTAACCATTCACAAGTCAGAGACAATATTTACAGTTTATTTCATTTACTTAGTTGTTACTGTTTACCTAAATTATTATTACTAATAATTTTGACTCTCCCTCCCTCTGTTCCTTCTCTCTTTCTTTCTTTCTTTCATTCTACCATGCATTGTTTCAGTGGTGAATATTATGTTGTTTTAGGTATATTCTACTGGTATTGGTATGTTTGAATTTAATTAGTCTTTTGTGTTGTCTTCTATTTCAAAATACCATACCTTTTACTTTGCTTTCTTTTTTAAAAAATCTAATCTCTCACACAATACATCCCGACCGCATCCACTCCTCCCAGTCCCCCTCCCCATCCCGCTCTCCTCCAAATCCACTGCTCCTCCATTTTCTTCAGAACAGAGCAGGCCACCAAGGGATTGTATACAATAAAACTAGGCACAGAACTTCATTTCAGGGCTGGGCAAGGCAACCCAGTAGGAGGAAAATGGTCCCAAAAGGAGGCAAAAGAGTTTGAGACACCCACACTCCCATTGTCAGGAGTCACCCAAATACCCAAGCCAACAACTATTAACATATATGTAGAGGACCTAGTGCAGACCCAGGTAGACTCTGTGATTGTCTCTTTAGTCTGTGATTCCCAATGAACCCTGCTGAGTTAATTCCATGGCTTTGCTCTTCTAGTATCCTCTCTGATTATCACAATTCCCTATTTACCTTTTCTGTGGGGGTTCTCTGAGCTCCTAGGGGAGGGATCTGATGGAGACCCCTAACCTGGACTCACTTTCTACCTAATGTTTGACTGTGGGTTTCTGCATACAAACCCATCAGCTACAGAAAGAAGCTTGTCTCATGAAAATTGAACTAGAAATCATTCTATGAATATAGAGTAACATAATTAGGAATCATTTCATTGACTTTTTTTCCACTCCTGTTTTTTTTTTAAGAAAAATAGACTAGTTTTAGAATTCCATTCTAATTGCTACAAAGAATTTTGTTAACTTTGAATTAGTTTTGCAGTAAATATCTCACATTTATGTGTTTTCTTAACTTTTCATCCATCTTGAGTTAGTATCATTTCATGTCACATAAAATGCAAAAACTTACCAAGGAGCATTATCTGCAGTTTTGTGTTCAGCAAAACTATTTACTTCTTTTCCATGTTGTTATGATACCACTTAATTTGTGGTGATTGAATATTATCGGAAACCTTTTCAATTTTCCATAATTGTATAGGATGATTTTTTACATATATAAATATTAGGTGAGTGGTTGGGGTGTATGTACATATGCACATTTATGCAAGTACACCTATAGGTGAGGGGTTAAAACAAGGAGTCTATTTCCATTGCTTTCCTCCATGTTCTTTGAATCAAGGTCTCTCCTTGAACCTGGGGCTCACCAAGTCATCTAGACTGGCTCTGCAGCAAGTGCTGAGCTTCTTTCATGGTGATTAGAGATCCAAACTGAGGTCCTCATTCTTGCTCAGCCAACACATCATCAACTAAACCATATTCCCAGGCCCTACTGGCTTTTGTCCTTTGTTTTTGACAAGCGTGTTCACACATTGTCTCATTGTTCCTTAACTTCCACTGCTCAGTAGTTTGGTTTATTGTTTTCTATTTTATGCTTCACATTTTTTATTACTTTATTTTGTTTTTACTGACTTGGTTCAAGAAGTCCTTCTTTATATAATTTTTAGTACTTTGACAATATTGTGATCTGGTTTTCAGTTTTCATCTAACCTGGTTATCAGTTTGGTTTTTTTCCCCCTTTGGGTGTTTGGGTTAATATATGATGTTTTTATCCTATATTAATATTTTATCTCCTCCATCTAGGATACTATAATTCTTTGGTTTCTTCTTATTACCCATTAAATCACTAAAGATTCACTCTTTCTGTCTCTGTGTGTTAGTCAGGGTTGACAGAGATCTAATATAATAAACAAATAAAATGTTAGAGGAGATTTATTAGCAGAATTGGTTCAAGGAAAAAAAAGAAAATATCATCCAGATTGATCTATTTCTACTTCCACATTCAGTTCGTGGTTGTTTGTTCCATGTGCCTGGGTCTGTGATGAGGCCCATTGTTACTGTTGAAGGAGATAGTGGTGAAGTAGTTACTCACCTCATGATGGCCAGGACCTGTACATGGGAGAAGCTTGTAGCAGGGCATTTCATCTTAGTTTTTCCTCTGTAAGAATTGCCTTAAAAATATAACCAAAGGAGCGTTTTACTAAACTTTTAAGCTTAAAATTAAGGTTAGCCATCACAAGATCCTTCTTTTTCAATGGTACACCCAAACACAATTACCATATTTAAATTCCAAACAAAAGAATAACAAAGTCACAGTTCTCCCTAACATAACAATGCTGCATACAGTTAAAACAAGTTCCTATCTTCCTCCAAGTGTCAACAGTTTCTATATTGTTCAGAAGTCCAAGCCTAAAGTCTTTCTGAAAAACCATGTCAAAATCTTAGCTGTGAGCCTGAATGAAATCAAAAGGAAGCTACATAATGACAACATGCAAGAGTGGAACAAGTTAACCATTCCCATTCCAAAAGGGAACTACTGAAGAATAGCAAAGAATGGTCAAACCAAAGCAAATCAAAATCTCAGTATGGCAAAAGCTGACCCCCAAGGCACCAACTCACATGACAGAGCTTGTGTGGGCTTGTGCAGCCACCACTGCCATGGGATGCATCCTGTATAGCTTCATTCTTGGGCAGGCAGCTCTTGCTCTGGCAGCTTTCATTGTCAGACGTGCTCTTTTCCTGTCTGCTTCAATTTTCTGGCATTCCGATCGCATCTATAGCTTCACTCTTACAGCTTCATGCATTGCCCCTTAGGTTGTGTGTTCTCATCAAGGACTCTGGACCCACAACACAAGACCTGGATTCTTACCCTTTATTTTTAAATGTGAAAAGTTTATGGACCTGTAAATCTTGTATTCTCCATATCTGAAAAATCAGCATCATATGGATGATGCCAAAGTCTTACATGATTAGGAGCACTAGTCTGGGTCTGAATCTTTAAGTGAGTTTACTCCCTTAATGTCTTGAACTTGAAGTGGAGGGAGCTGGTATTTTCTTAAGATGCCAAAAGGGCATGGTTTTATTTTCCTAATGGGTACACATGTGAGGCTTCTTTATAGTAAGGCAGACTCATTGCATTTCATCTGCACACAGGAACCAGAAAGTGAAAACTGGAAGCAGGGGAAGCTATAAATTCTCAAGTGCTGCAGCGGGTTACTCGCTTCCTCCAGCCAAGCTCTACATATAAAAGCTTCCCTAATCTCCCCAAAGAGCACTCCCAGCTGAGAGTCAAACTTTCAAACACAAGCTCCTTTGTGGTACTTCTTATTCAAAAACAGTTTCTCTCCCTCCAACCAAGTTGAGCATCACAAAGTTCTTCTTCCTTTGTATTTTTCTGTTCGGATTCCCTTCGCAGTTAGGTGGCACTTGCTCAAACTGAAGGAGAAATTCACTAAGATTGCTGCAGGGATTCTCTGTGTATTGCTGACAGGCACAACCAGGAAATAATGCTTCAGTAATAATCTAGTACTTTTTAATCTGGTTATGCTGATACCTGAAATTAGCCATACCATGAATTCAGATTTGATTGTTTTTATTAGACAATCGTTAGGGATAATGATACCTTTCTGTATTTCTTCTATATTCTTAATTTTTCATCTCTACTGTTCCAAATGACTTTGTGGGTAGTTCCGTTGAAATGATTTCCTAACTCTTGTGAAATTTTATATCTGTCAGTCTATTCATTTTTGTGGTAACTTATTTAGCATATTTTGTATATTTTTTAGGTCTTTGTCCGCTAATTTCAACAAATGTATCACATGATTATATTTTTCTATGTATTTGTTTTCTTTGAGTTGATGTCATTTTCTTGCTTCCTCAAATTACTAGTATATTTCAATTATATGTTTAAAATATAGATGGTGTGTTGTAAAGAGCCTTGCTTTCATCTTCATCTGAAGTATGTTTCTACACAGAAATTACATTAGTGGTGCCTCATCCTTGCATTATATAAAGGTCTTTGCATTGGGCTTTGTTGAGCTAAATCCACTCAGGCTCTATTAATCCTACATGACGACCATGTATCTTGAGAGAGGCTCATCTAACTAAAGCCAGACTGTCTGCCTTTCATCAGTGTTCCTGAAGTGCTCAGTGTAGTGTGCTAACTTCACAGAAATTAAACTTCAGTTTCTGACTTTGGAGATTGGGAAGATATTGAAGTCTCTGATCTTTGATTTCCCTATCCCCACTATTTCCTTCCAGTAGGTCCTCTGAAGTTAAGCTCTTCATTCCGCGGGCTTATCACTTATGCTTTTCATCAAACTTTCCATCGTACAGTCATGTAGACTTCTCATTCCCAGTTAGTTTTTATTTGTGTATTCAGTTCTCTCTCCTCGAAGTTTCTCATAGTACTCATTATTTATTCATATTTCTTATCTCGAGAATTATACTATTTTATGTGTGATTACAAATTGTTAGTACTCTGATTCCATGATGGAGCAAGAACTAGGCCCACCTCCTTTCCATTATGTAAAACTTCAGTGGAATCTGTACTGAGAAGTGAAAATTTCTTGGGAGAGAACTTTTTTAGCAATGTTTCATGTGTGGAATAAATTATATCATATTATGACAGAAAGATGTGGGAAAAAAAGAAAACACAAACTTGGAAGGACTGCAGTTTGACCAGGAAAACAGTGATGAATATGTGTTCAAAAGTATGGCTGGGGAACAATTTGCTAAAAGGACTATTTTCAATGACAAAGAACTAGTTGATTTGTTCAGTAGCACCTAAACAAAGAAGTGAGGCCATCTCTGAATTCTTCCAGGTTCTCTGCTCTATTACAGCATGTAAACTTTGCAGGACAAACATGTTTCAGGAAGGGACCCAAAATCAGAGTCCCTAGGTTCTTTTGTCCAGTGCCACCTTAGGGTCAATTTTCCTGTTTCAGACTGTGGAGGTCAACTTTCTACCACTGTGACAAAAATACCTGAGAGAAATCAACTAGAAGGAGAAAATGCTTCTATTGGCCATTTTTGAGAGGTTTCCATCTATGCTGACTTGACTCCATTGCTTCTGGAGTCACAGTAAGTCACCTTGGTAGGAAAAAATGATGGAGAAAAGGGCTATACTTCTTGCCTTGTAGAATGAAGAGAGTGTGAGAGAAAGGTCCATACCTCAAGTGACTTGCTCCCTCACAATAGATAATGTCTTTTAGAGGCTCCATAACCTCTTAAAGTTCACTAATTCAATCATTATTTAAACCATGTATTAATCCATTGATAAAGTTCATACTTCTTTTATTAAGCTACCTCTTAAAAATACCATAAAGCTGTGTACCAAGTATGCCAAACCTTTAATAAATAAACCCTTGAGGACACTGGATCCAAATTGTAAAGTAGACAGTAGAACATTTTACCACTAAAACTTATTCAAGAAGATGTGGTTGCAGTTAGAGTTTACAGGAATCTTGGCATTCACGATTTGCACATTCCAAACCACATTATGCAGTATTGACAGCTCTGAGGGCCAGTATGTATCCAGATCTGAGTGGCCTGCTCTGCTACTCAGTGTCATGGTAACATCCAGGCCAGGATTGCAACTGAGGGCCGTATCAGAGTTTGTGGCCCTACTGTAGCCAAAGCATATTTTTTAATATGTACAATATTGCTGATCCGTACACAAAATAGCTGAATGTAGTAGAAGGCATACCAATATGAATAAACCCTAAAGATCAAAAATTAATAAAGATTTCATAACTAGATTTCATTTTTGAGATTGGAAGATGCAAGCTGACTCCTAGTGTCTTCTCTTAACCAAACCTCACAATATTTAATAGTCATATCTAAATGATAAAATTGGCTAGAAGCAACTTATTGGCCTATAATAAGAAATAAAGAAATAAGCCGGGCGGTGGTGGCGCACGCCTTTAATCCCAGCACTTGGGAGGCAGAGCCAGGCGGATCTCTGTGAGTTCGAGGCCAGCCTGGACTACCAAGTGAGTTCCAGGAAAGGCGCAAAGCTACACAGTGAAACCCTGTCTCGAAAAAACAAAAAACAAAAAAAACAAAAAAAAAAAGAAAGAAAGAAAGAAAATAAGTGTTGGGGACAGGATACTTAGTACACAAGCGTGAAGACACGTGTTCCATTTCATGCTATCTAAGTAAATATCTAGTCATGACTTCATGCTCTAACCACAATACTATTGACAATATAGGTATGATATCCAGATCTTTCTGGATGCCAGTCTATTCTAGATTAAGTGCCAGGTCCTGTTTTAATGGAGAATGATAGAACAGGACACACAACGTACCCCTCTGGTGTCTGTAGACGCAGGTGCAGATGCAACACTGGCACACACACACACACACACACACACACACACACACACACACACTTATAAAGCAAAAACTAAAAATAACAGTAAAGATACCTAGGATACTACTAATGAAATATATTAGAATTATTTAAAAAATCTAATACCAAAAAAGACAGAAAGGAGAAAGCCACACCTAGTTTTGTATAAATATACAACAAATAAAAATGCAACAAATTAAACTGCAAGTATCAGCAACTTATTTAAGTATCAATGCTCTACACACTTCAAGTGTAAAATGTAGATTTGTGGAAAAGTAATTTGTAAAATAGAACAAGAGGAAATGAACGTGCAGTAAAAAGGAAACGCAACAAAATCCCCACATTCCCCTAAAGTGATTGGGGTATAATAAACTTGAAAGTATTAAGAAGTTGATTTATCTCTGTTATAATCAGAAAAAAATACTTCAGAAGGAAAAATCTTCTGAAGATAATGGGACATTTTGTGATGACAAAGGGATTTTCAGCAAAATATAGCAAACATATCTATACGGGTATTTAAGAGATACTTAAAAATGAATGAACAAAACGGCATTGAATAAAACTACAAATAAAATCGAAGATTTCAACGTCCTTTTAAATTGAAAGAATTTACCAAGCAAAAATAAATAATGAGGAAGAAAACATGAATAACAGGATGAAGCAACTTGACCTAAAGTCTTTATACAAAGTCATTTTCAACACCAAAACACACATTCTTTCAGGAACACATGAAGCAGTTTCCTCTGCTAACCTGAGAATAGAGAACATGATTATTTATCTACTCTTGACACTAGCACAGTGTGAGCAGGTTAACATTTT